TATCTATTACTATCACTTAACATTGTCATTATATTTCCCTATAGTTGGGGGAAAAACACCATAAGAAATAACTGCAAAATATGTTATACAACAGGAAGTGCCGTGCAATATAAATACCAGCTTACCGATATATACACATTCAACATGAAAAAAACTCAAAAGATGAAGAAAGTTCTCTCTTAAATCTTTGAAGTGACCAAAAGCAGACTTTTTTTTTTTTTTTTGGAAACTCACCAAGTTTTCATTTACTATGCCATCACTTGCTGCAAAGAATGCCAGAACGTGTGAAATAAAATATCTCTCCTCAGGCTTCAGGGCCTCCCAGTGCTGAATGTCCTTAGAAAGATCCACCTGAAGTACAGAAGTTCACAAGGGATTCGAGCATAAGGACCTCACACGTAGGTATAATTCTTAAACTTTAAATCTAACATCCTCAGTGGGATTCCCACTGGGAACAAGAGGAAAGAAAAGTATATTTCAAACAAGTAATATCCGCCACTGCAGGGGTCTTTCTTTAGAGTTAGGGGCAACGCTGAAACTGTCTTTTAGGTCTCCTGGTTCCCAAATCTGATTACCTCCTCAGCTGTCCAAAAGGAAGCCTCAGCTTTCTTATACATTTGCCAAATATCATGATATTCGATAGGAAAGATGACAAAGCGGCGGGGGTTTTCTCTCAGAAGTGGCTCATCCTCCACGCTGGGGGTAAGCAGCTTAGGGCTCTGTTGGGGGGTAAAGTAATGAAGATGTTAAGTATAGGGTGATCCAGGAAATTGCCTCCTTTTTCAGGCAAAGTACATTTAATTTTCGGAAATTTCACGTGTGTCAGCTGTCATACATGTATTCTATCTGTAACAGAGCAGGCTCATAGGAGAGAAATAATAGGAAATACTCAGATGTGTAAAGTAGCAAATGACCGGGAAGAGACACTTTGGCGGGAAAGGAGCGCGGGCCCGGGAGGGGGTAGGGTTTGAGCGGAGACAATGAGGCTTTGGCGCCAAGAGCAGGCTCCTCCTGGCACCGCCTTCCTGCAGCGCCCCCTCGCCGGGCGCCCCCAGGGCGCCTACTCACCGGCTCGGTGGGCTCCTGGAAGATCCTCCTCGCGGTCTTGCTGGCCAGCACCCGGGTCCCGCTGAGGGAAGGGGGCTGCAAAGAGACCCGCGGTGAGGAGTATGCCCGTGTCCCCAAGGACCCCGCCACCCTACCCGGACCCGCGCCCCTGAGCGCTCACTGTGTTCTCCTTGTCTGCCAGGCTGAGCCCCTTCAGGGGCGAGAGCTGGAGCTGCTGCTGCTGCTGCGGGTCCGCGATGGTGGCGAGCGGGACGCGGACGGAGAGCATGGCGGCGTGCGGCTGGGACAGGTGAGGCTGCGCGCGGATCCTGGAAACCCCTACATTGCCCCGCCGGGAATTTAACACATCCCGGAGATGCGCGCGGTGGGCGTGGCCGCCTCCCCATTGGATGGAGGTCGGCCGCTGGCCACGCCTCACGTAGGAGATTCAAGCGCTGCGCGGGAGCACCCTCCGCCCCTGCCCTCCAGGGACCCTCGCGGGACCTACACCTCCCAGGCCTCTGGGGGCCGCAGAACGGGCTGGGGGCTCCACTGCCGGGATCCCTGAGGGCCCCATCGGACAAAGACTGCAGCCCCTAAGCGTCTTGGTGGCCCTGGCGCGCGCGGGCACTCGCTTGTACCGGAACGGTTTGGGATTGAATGAAGCAACGCGATTGGAGCCCGCCCGAGAGCGGGAGAGGATTCCCCACCCCACAGAGCCACACCTCTCCGAAAACGTCTCTCGAACCCGTTTCGCGGTTCCGGGCAAATGGTTTTGCAAATGAGGTTGGTGCAAATGCCTGTAAAACGCCCCTGGCCGCAAGAGAAACGCGTTGCTGCGACGATTTAGATAACGTGTACCTGGGTGGGAGTGCAGGGTCCCTGAGGTCGGGCAGATTTGTGGAGTGATCGGTGGTGACCTTACTGCCTAATGGTTAGGGCCTGTGGGCTACAGAATCTCAGGGTGCATTTGCAGTGTCACTGGGACAGGTCCCTTGACTTAGAAATTTGGCGCTCTCCTTGGTAAAATGGGACTTGTAGCCATGCTTAACCTGTGGGATTACTAATAAAATGAGATTAAATGAGAAAATTCATGTAAAATGCGAAGTCCTTTGTAAACCTTCAAGTTAATAACAGAGAGAGGGCCTTTGATGCAGTTTCCCACAGAAATCGTGTCTGATGTCAGACCACTGTCCTCTGTGACAACGTTGTTTTAAAAATTGCAAACTGAGCAAAAATTCCTGAGAAAAAGTTCAGAGAATGATTGAAGAACTAGGAATTCATTTACTGCTTATTGGGCATCAGAGAGCCTGAAGAGAGGGTTGAAAACCTCCATTGGGGTGAGGGTGGAGACATGAACTTTGTAACAGTTTTCATTTTACTTTGTACACGGTCTTTCAGATTTGCCATAGACTTTTGCCTTGCACGTGGCAAAACGCCAGAAATGATTGAAGAAAAAGAAGTGTTAAGATCCAGGCAAGAAATGATTAACCAGGAAAAGCTCCAACAGCTCCACACAGTCAGGGCTGTCACTGAGTGGGACTCGATTTTTCGATTTCAAGATATGCTACTTTAAATAGGTGGGGGTAGGGAAGATACCCTCCCTAACGAGGTCTGTTTCTTAAAGTACTGCATACTATTTAAAGTAGTTTCAAGTCTCAGAAGAAAGATCAATGACAATCGCATCTCTTAGACGAAGCAACAACTGAAACGTTGGTCTTTGATCGTTTGTTTTAAAGCAACCCTCAGACATCAATTTCACCTCACTTACGCATGCAGCTCCATGAAATGGATGTTTTTATTGGGAGTTTTATATCTGATAAAGCCATTATCACATCTCACAAAATTATCAATAATTCCTTGGTATCCTTTAATACCCAATTCACATGCCAGTTTCGGGTAATCAGTATTTGAAATACTTGGGATTGCTGTCCCAGGCACCATGTGCTTTTTATCTTTAGTTCCTATTATATCCTGTAGGTACAGGAACCATAAAGCATAACCAGAAACTATGACTTTATTTTCTGTTGAACTGCCACGAGGCAAGGGGGAAAAGTCACCCATCCTCCCCTTCACCGCCTCCCACCTCTGAGTCATTCAGGCATGCCCTGTCCTCCCCTACATCGGGTTTCTACTGCTCTGACTTTACAAAGGAGGAAGCAGGGGCAGAAGGCTACGTGGCTCTGCTGGGCGGTCAGGCCGGGTGGAGACAGCCGGGCCAGGCTTCTGGTCTGCAGTGCCTCCTCTCTTGTCCGCGTACCGGAGAGGGAAGGGTCGGGCCCGACCAGGCGGCCCAGTCACCGGAAGACAGGACGCCGCAACAGCCGCCCAGCGCTGAGCGCTGGGATCCTCCCAGGATCGTCCCATTTTCGCCCTGGCGCCCGTTTTGACAGCTACTCCGCGATTGGTCCGTGAGACAGGCCCCGCCCCCAACTTCCGAGAGGCTGCGCTCATCCAGGGTTTTGGGATTCCAGCCCCGGCTACGGCAAGCCCCGCCCCCGTTTCCGGCGGCCGGACCCCGGGTGATTTCCTGTCCACCGTCGCTCGCGGGCCGGTGTGGTGACCTCTAAGGGGCCCCTCACCCACCCCCAGGTACAGTCACTGCGGCCCGAGGAGCTCAAGTGATTTTCCCAAAGCCACTGATCACTCTATTCAGTCACCATGCTGGGGACCGTCCTAATAATACTAATGCCGATAACGCCCCAGCCACTGGGCACCTGGACCAGGTGATTTACACGTTTAATCCAGACGACAGTGTGAGGTAGGTATTTTTAGCCCTGTTCTTCGGATGAGACTAAGGCCTGAGAGGCAAGGAGACTGCCCAAAGTCACACAGCTCCTTAAACTTCATAGCTAGAAATTTCCTCTCCCAACTTTTTATTAAGAATGTTTTTAACACAGAGAAAAATGGAAAGAGTTCTACAGTGTTCACCCAACACCTAGGATTCAACTGTTGTTTCTCTTTTACCATATTTGCTTTTTCCCCCTCTATGGTGTGTGAGGCTTTTGTTTTTTCTGGATCATTGGAAAGCGAGGTGTAGATAGGACACCTCATTCCTAGATATTTCAGCATATTACAACATGCAGCTCCTACAAATAAGGGCGTTCTCTAACATAACTGCAATACCATATTCAGTCCTAAGAAAACTAACATTAGTTCTCTAATACCACCTAATATCTAGCCCATAATCAAATTTTCCCAGTCATTTCAAATATGCCTTTTTTGTTTGTTCATTTTTGATGCAGGATCCTATTAAATGGATGGATTACATTTGGTTATTGTATCTTTGTAGTCTCTTAATTTGAACAACTCCTCCACTTTTTTTTCCCCCATGACATTGACTTCTTGAAGTTTAGGCCAGTTTTCTTGTAGAATGTCCTGCAGTTTGTGTTTGCCTGATGTGTCTTCAGTGTCATTTAACTTGTTCTTCTAATCCCTGTATTTACTGTAAACTGGAAGTTAGAGTTAAAAGCTTTACTAGATTTAGCTAATTTTTTGTGGGTATGCTAAAATACACATTCACTAAAATTTACCATTTGAACCATTTTCAAGTGTGCAATTCAGTGGCATTAAGCACATTCACAGCATGCAACCATCACCACCATCCATCTCCAGAACTTTTTATCATCCCAAATGGGAACTCTGTCCCCATGAAACACTAGCTCCCCATTCCTCCCTCCCATTCTTGTAGGCACCTTGTTCTAGTTTCTGTCTATGTGACCTCATACAAGTGCAATCTTACAATATTTGTCCTTTTGTGTCTGGCTTGTTTCACTTAGCATAATGTCTTCAAGGTTCATCCATGTTGTAGCCTGTGTCAGAATTTCATTCCTTTTTAAAGCTGGGTAATATTCCACTGGGTGGCTATCCCTCAGCTTGTTTATGAGATTTCCTTTCTGCAACCCATCAGCCCTTCCCTCCATGGAGTTCTTTTGTTTCCCAACCACTAGGAAGCAAGGTCAACCCTCCTCAAAACTGAGCTAATCTCTGTGTGGCTCCAGAGCGTCTCCTTTCTCTTTCTGAACTTGACATTCCCTTTTCAGACCTTCAGGGTGCTCAGAGCCCTTTGTTGAGGAAAAAGCATCCTCAGAGAGCAGGAAGACAACATACTTCATCCCAAGTGTGACTTGTTAGCTGAGGGATTTCAGGAGCGAGGCAGTGGGCTGAGGGTGGGGTTAGGTCAGCCTCCCTGTGCCCTCCAGTCCCTCTGCGAACCCCAGAAAGCTTGCCAAGGGACCTCTCTCTCCACATCTCCTCCTGTGGAAGCACACCATCTTGCGCGGGGGCCCTGTCTTTCCCTTCCTCCTCCCAGCAGGGCCTTTCCCTGCTCTTCTGTCAGGCCTCCTCCGGTCTTCCTTCGCCTGGGTCCCCTCCCCTGAAGGCTATGTTTCTGCCCCTCCCAGGCTTTGTCTGAAGGAGGGGATTTCCCACAGATTGACTTGAAAAAGAGACAAATAAGTCAGAACGTAAGGCCATGATTTTGCAGGCTCAGGGTTAATTTATTTCCTTACCAAGTTCAGCTTTCAGTTGGCTTGTTTCTGAATAATTTCTTCTCTAATAGTTTTCTTCCCTGGATAAGGAGGCTGCAATATTGACTTCTAAGTACAGTGGGGTGTGTGTGTGTTGAGGAATGGGGGTGCAGCCAGCTTTAATGTTTAATGTTATTCTGAACTGGTAGACATAGAGCGACCTATGCTAACGGGACGCAAATCCTGCCGTTAGTGAGTGAGTAGGGGACTGAGGGGGAGGAACAGCGTGGTCAGCTCCAGCACGGAGATGAAGCTCCCCAGGCTTCTCTCACCAGCCACCACCTTAGCTAAATAATAACTTTAGGAGAAAGAGAAGCAAAACCTAGGAAAACCAGCCCTACAAAGCCCTGATGATTCATTTCCGAGATGTCAGTGCTTGTAGACTAGATCGGTGTAGTGCAATAGAAGGACCAACACTGGATTCAGGTCTGAATACGTGACCTGAGATGACCTTGGACAAGTCACTTGATATTTCTGAGCCTGTTGCTTTACTGATAAAATGGGCGTGATAATTTCTACCTCACAGGTTGAACCTAAGGATTAAATGGTGTAGGATATTTAGTTCAGTCCTTTCCACTTAGTGAGCCTAGCTGACGTCTCTTAGTTCATTGGGATATAAAACTTCCATTACTCCAATGTGTTTTTCTTAGTTTCCTATTTTGGTTTGTTTCCAGGTCCTCACTTACCCACAGCCCTGGAGTCACTATTCCAGCTCCTTCTCTCCCCGTCTCTCTTCTGTCTCCTCCCCACCACCACCAGAGAATTCCTCAGTGCAGGTGAGCAAAGCAGAAGCAGCGCTTAGCACCCCAGCCAGAGGGCCCTGTGGCACCTCCTGGCCATCACGAATCGGGGCCAGGCTCGAGTGGAGAACCCGGCCCAAGCGTCTCAACAAAGCCCCTGGGCCTCCTGGCCTAATTCCTAGTCCCACTGACGCGTCAGTCCCCTGACGTTCTGACCTGAGGCCCGTCCTAACAAGCCAGGTCCGATGACATCGTGCTGAAGGGCGCCATCTTCCCACAGGCCGGTGGCGCAGCGCGTGCCTGTCCCAGGCGGCCCCTTGACGACTTTCTGCAGCCTGGTGTGGCTGGTGTGTTGTAGGGCTGCCTCATCGCTCCGAGGCATTGCCCATTCTGTCCGAGGGGCCCTCCTAGGCCGTCAGGTTGAGCGTGGGGACGGGGAGGAAGGAGGCGGTGCTGGTGAGTGGGTTGGTTGAATTAAAGAATGAGGAAGAAGGGACAGAATGGCTTAGAGGTCTTAAACCTAGACTATGACTCCCGGCTTCCCCACTGGCTAATGAACATCAGTTTCCCCAGTAGTAAAACAGGCATAATAACCATATCTAGAACCTACTGCATAGGATGGTTGTGCGGATTAATTTGAGTTGTTACGTGTAAAACACTCATGAAACTTCCCAGAACATCAAAAGCAGTAATAAATATAAGTTGCCATTAGTATAATTTGTCTAACGAGCCTCTTGTAATAAACATGAAGGCCAGCTGCAGTTTTTCACTGTTATAACAACGCTGCAGTGGACGTCTTCGTGTTTCCTAGAAGTAGAGTTACTGGGTCGAATGGTGTAAACGTATGAAATTTAGAGAAGTGCCAACAAGCTGCCTGTTAGCATGTTGGCCAATCACCGTCGCTGGCAGTGTCTGGGAGTGGCCTTTTCTCTGCATCCTGACCATCAGTCTTCATGGATGGAGACTTACATTTCTTTGTCTGAATCTAAATGTATTTGACTATGAGTGAGATTGAATATGGACATACAAACATTTATATTTCTTCCCTGAGTTTCCTGATATTTGTCTACTTATTGATTGGGCTATTTATTTTATTTTATTTTATTTTTTAAAAATTTTAGTGGAGAGGCAATTAGATTTTTATTTATTTTTTCTTAGAGGAGGTACTGGGGATTGAACCCCGGACCTTGTATATGCTAAGCATGTGCTGTACCACTTGAGCTATACCCTTCCCACTGAGCTATTTATTTTCGTACTGATTTATAGGAATTCTATATGTTATGCTTGGATGGTACCTCTTTTTCTATTATATATGTTGCGGTTATATTTCCTGGTTTTTCATTTGTGTTTTTCCCCTTTTTTCCCCTAAATTATAACTTTATTTTGAAAGAATTTAAGACACAAGAAGTTGCAAAATTAGTACAGAAAGTTCCTGCGTACCTTTCCCCTAGGTTCCCTTAATATCTTACATAACCATCAGTGGATTGTTAAAATCAGGAAGTTGACACTGTTGCAATCCTATTAAGTAAATTACGAACCTCATTTGGATTTCACCAGTTTCTATGTGCACTCGCGTGTGTGCATACGTGTATGTGCATACACGGTTCTTGGAAATTTTATCATACGTGTAGATTTGAATAATCATAACCAAATCAGGATGCAGAACTCTCCCATCACCAGAAAGAAAATCCCTGTGCTATTTCTTAATAGTCACACCCCCTCTCAGCTCCAACTTCTCGCAACCACCAATCTGGTCTCCATCCCTGCAATTTTGTCACTTAGAAATGTGGTATAAGTGGAATCACAGTGTGTAACCCTTGGAGATTGGCTTTTTTTCACTCAATGTAATGCCCTTGAGATGCTCCAGGTTGCTGAGTGGATCAGTAGTTTATACTCCCTTTTGTTACCGAGCGGTGTCCATGGTGTGGATGAGCTACTGGGTGCAAGATATCTGGGTTGTCTCCAGGTTTGAGCTAGTGCAGCACAAGCTGTTAGAGATGTTTGCGTGCAGGTTCTGGTGTGAACATACATTTTTATTTCTCTGGGGTAGATACTCAGAGGTGTCATTGCTGGGTCATGTGGTGAGTATATGTTTAACTTTGCAAGAAACGCTTGTGCAGAGTGGTTGTGCCATTTACAGCCTCACCAGCAAAGAACGAGAGCTCCAATCGCTCCACTTTCTCACAAGCACTTAGTGTTACCCGCGTTTCATTATTTTAGCCGTTCTAATAGGCATGTGGCATTGTATTATCAGAGCTTTAATTTATATTTTCCTCATATTGAACATCTTTTCGTGTGCATTTATTTTCAGTCCATGTCTCCTTCTTATGGAAGTGTCTCTTCAAGTCTTTTGCTCCTTTCGAATTCATTGGCTCTTGACTGGGGGTGATGAATGCCAGGAGACATCAGCAATGTCTGGAGACATTTTTGGTTATTTCTTACTGTTGAGTTTAGAGCGTTCCTTATTATATTTTGGATGCCAAGTCCTTTGTTGGATATACAATTTGCAAATATTTTTCCCCAGTCTGTGGCTTGTTCGTTTATTGTTTAATATCATTTACGGTGTCTTTTACCATTCAAAAGTTTATTTTTTTAAAAACTTTATTTTCTTTTTTATAGAGGCACTAGGGATTGAACCCAAGACCTCGAACAGACTAGACACGCACTATACTGCTGAGCTATTCCTGCCCCCAAGAAGTTTACAAATTTTTGTATGGTAAACTGTTAAACTTTTCCTTTTCTGGTTTCTGGTTTTGCTGTCCTGCTCAAACACCACACGAAGATACATTTTCTCATAGAACATTGATAGTCTGTTTTTCACACTTTAATCTCCGATCTGCTGAATAAGGCTGAGACCAAGCTCAACTTTTTTTTAAATTGATAGCTAATTATTCTAAAATTCTTACTGAATAATCCATCTATCCTTTCTATTCTAATTCTAAATGTTTCTTTATCCTTTAGAATACAATACTAAATTTCCATAGCTACATGATCTATTTCTGGATTCTCAGTTATGTTTCACTGATCTATCACAGACCTGCTCCATATTCTTTTAATTATTATTGTTATATAATTGATTTTTTATGTCTCTAGGGTATGACTCTCTCATTAATATTCTTTTATTCAAACATTTCTAGGCTATTCTTTTTTTTAACATTTTTTATTGATTTATAATCATTTTACAATGTTGTGTCAAATTCCAGTGTTCAGCACAATTTTTCAGTCATACATGGACATATACACACTCATTGTCACATTTTTTTCTCTGTGAGCTACCATAACATTTATTTCTAGGCTATTCTTGAAGTTACTTGTCTAGATGAATTTTATAATTTATATGTCAAGTTCCAAATTAAAATAAACTAAAAACATAATGGAATTTTTAAGTTATAATTGCATTGAGTTTATAGATTATTTGGGGGAAAATAATATCTTACCATGTCTTCCCATTCATGAACATGGTATACGTCTTAAGGTTTTGTTCAAAGACCACCATTTGGGTTTTATAATACTCTTCTTGTAGGTTTTACACGTTTGTTGTAGGGTTTAATTCTCGATATCTTTATAGCTTAGCACTTGGTCCTTCTTTCTGTTCTGTGGCCATTACATGCTGACTCCCCCTTAGAGCCATTGCAGTAGCTGTTCTCAGGGCCTGAGATGCCCTTTCTCCTGACCTCTTTCATGGCTGACTCACTCCCCTCATTCAGACATCAGCCTCATGTCACCTGCTTGGTCACTCATGAACACACCACCCTATTTTAATGTTTTGCATAACACTTGTCAGTCTCTGAAGTTTTTCTTTTTAGAATATAAGCTCACGAGAACCAGGACCCATCAAGCTGTGTTTATGGCTGCATTTCCAGCACAGGATCCCAGTATGTCCTTGATGAATGTTATTGAATAAATGACAGGAAAGTGAATCAAGCATATCTATGATCTGGCTTAACTTCACTCCCTTTACCCCAAAGTATCTGTTGATGTTTGACACACATTTTTTATTATGTTAAATAAATTTCTTTATTTTCCTAGGTCACAGTGAGTTTTTATGAGGAATGTTGAATTTAATCAAAAACTCTTTTGGCATCTGCCAATAACATTGGGTGATTTTTCTCCTTAAGTTTATTGATGCAATTTGCTACATTGCAGCTAGACTGATATTAGTGATAACAGCAACTCATACACAGCATGTACTGCACATACTTACCTTCCTAAACACTTTTTGTATTTACATATTTTAACTTATAACAACCCCATGAGGTAGGTACGTCATCATCCCCATTTTACATATGAAGGAAGTGAAACAGACAAGTTAGGTAACTTACCCAAAGTCAAACAGGTGGAACCAAATTTGAACCTCCTCAATCTTATTCCTGAATCTGTGCTTTTAACTACAAAGTTAGTCTCTGTCAGTCTTTTATTCTTTTATTACTCTACTGGAACCAGTAGGATTATTTAGGTTTTGCATCATTTTTAAATAAAAGTGTTAATCTTTTATTATGTTCTCTATTCTTACATAGTTTGGAATTCAAGTAATTTCATTAGAATAAAATTAAGAATTTTTACATATTTTTCTTTGCTCTGATATAATTTAAAAGATCTATTTTTTGTAAGTAAGTTTGATAGAATTTGCCTGTAAAAACTATCAAGGATTGCCACCTTTTTGTGCAGAGGGAGGTGAACATTTGACAGCTTTTCCACTTCCTCCTATGAGGTGAATATATTCCGTGTTTCTATCTGTACCTCAGTTAGGGGTCAGTTGAGAATAAAAGAAACTACGGTAGCCAATTTAAGCAGAAGAGGATTTACTAAGGGGAATTAGTGCTTATAAAATTATTGGAAGAGCTAAAGGGATGGGCTCAAGGTTGGGCCTCCAGGAGCAACTCCCAAAACATGTAGAACTGGTCCCCCACAGGAGCTGCACCCAGTGCTGTGATCAGTGGACTGGTATCAGGAGCCCAGTGCCCCATTGCTAGGTTCTGGTCCACACTGTCTGCCATCAAGTGAATGCTCTATGCCCTTCCTCTTGACACCCATGT